GCCGAGCCAGCCGTATTCCATTTTTTTATAGAACTATACCCAGTTTAGAACAAAATAATAATATAAAATAATTAAAAAAATACTACCCTTTCTTCGTGATCTTTGAATTGTAATACACACGCGCCGTGTTGGCTCGCCTCGTCGCTTCGGTAAGACTCGACGTCATCCATCACTAGAGGAAGCCCTAAAGACCACGTGAAGGAGTCAGGCAAGGAGGCAGGTTGAATCCAGAATGTATTATGACTATGATCCCATCTGCTGGCGGACGCCATCTGTGTAATACCCAATCCGAGATGCGCCAGGTCAAAATATGCACCAAGAACACCAGATGTCTCCCTCTGAGGAGCTCCTGACAGACATCGTCCCAAATAGCAAGCATCCGCCCTGTCCTAGAGCTCTGTGCCCCAAACATGCCACCAGCGAGAAACATGCTCAATGATAAATTGCCCCAGACCCAGGCCGACTCCCTCTCTCCAAGTCCCCACTGTACCTCAGCCTCCCCCCAGCCCCACCACTCGAAGCGCTCATCCTCGAGCCCGCCATCCTCCCGTAAACAGGCGACAGCCTCGCAGCGGCATGCCCCTCAAAGTCCCTCACGTAACTCCCGCTCCTCGCACGCGACCCGACGACGCTAGACCTCGAGAACGCCTGCTTCGGCTCGAGGCCCATCTCCCTCGCGATCGTGGGATACGCGTCCAGGGGCACCCCGTGAACGCCCTCCTCGGAGGCGGAGGACGACGATGCCGGGCCCCGAGAGAGGATGCGGCGCTTGGCGAGCGAGAAGGTGCGCCTCATGAAGTTGGTAAAGTCCTCAATGAAGAACGCCATGACGATGAGCGGGATGGATATCCCCAGCCCGATGCCGAACATGTACTTCGACACGTACGACATGGTCAGCGGGTTCGAGCCGTCCAGCCGGTCCGCGAAGTCCACGGCGAAGAACGACGCGATGAACGACATGGGCAGGAACACGACCGTGACGATGGTGAAGACCATGATGGTCTGCCCCTGCTTCCCGGCCAGGACGGCCTGGTCGCGTGCGAACCTCGCCTCGAGCGCGTTGGAGTGCTTCTGCTTCAGGTCGAGCAGGTGCGTGAGGTTCACGAAGATAATCTCCGCCTGGCGGTCCATGCGGCTGATGTCCCTCTTGTAAATCTCCAGCAGGCGCGCGAGCTCCCTCGACCGCTTCCGCATCTCCGCTATTACGATGTCGGCGGTGCGGCGGTTATTCTCAGCCTGTAGCTCCTCGATGATAAGCTGCTCCAACATCTCGGCCATCCGGACCTGAGACGCCAGGACCACGGAGATGATGTTGAGCTCATCGCGGATATCCTTGATCTCCACGAGTAGCGACGTCTCGGGGCCGATATCGAGGAGGGTATCGGGCGAGACGACCTCCTCGCCCATCTCATCCGTCCATGTGCCGCCCGCCATAGGATCTCCACGCGCGTTGTTCTTCACGAACCTTTGTAGCTGCGGGGAGAGACTGGACACGGCGCAGTTGAACGTGTCGAAGAGCTCCGTCTCGCAGTTCATGGCTGCGCCAATGGAGCTATCGAACATGTCGAGGAACTGGTATTCGGGGCGGCAGAAGCAGTGGCGGTCGAAGAGTCCGGAGCATCGACTCGTGATCAGCATCGCGAGATCATAGACTGAGGTGATGGGCGGTCGGGTCTTGGCATTGGTCTCCTCGATGATGCCGTTTACGACGTTGAGGTGGTCCTGGCTTTGTTGGTCCCAGCGTTGGGAGAAGCAGGTAACGACGAGGTCTATCGCGGGAGAGGTTAGCATGGAGAGGGTAAAGGAGCGGAGGAGAAGGTGGATGGCGCGCGAGATGCCCTTACCGGTACCGAGAACCCAAAGCCATAGTTGGTCCACCATAAACACCTTCGGCTCCTGCTTTTGGTTTTTACAGTACCTCCAGACGACCTGGTCACGGTCCCTGGCGGAAGTGTCAATGCCGTGGTAGAAGAACTGATCCAGCGTCCTGCGGGGATGTAATGGCGGAGTGTTGTTGAGGTATGCATTCACGAGCAGGACGTCCGGTGACGCATTTTCGGGAATGGGCTTCCCGTTCCGCACATCCCCGATGGCAGCCGCCATTTTTTCTCGGCGGGCATCAGTTTCGTAATGGAGGAAGGGAATCTGCACGTTTTGGAAACACCACATTAGTCCGGTAGCTTCAGCGGCGGGTTAGGACGAGACGACGACTCACGAAGAGAAGGATCTTTCCGTTGGACGGGGAGAGCTTTGCCGACTCCCACGTCGCAGATGGTGACAGCCTGGGCCAGGACTTAGTCGACTTGGGGGGCTGAGGGTTTCCTGGCGGGCCGTTACCCCGCTTATGCTTCGGGTGTCGCTCGGCGATCTGGGCGCCCTTCTTCTTCTTCTTCGGCTCCCCTCGTGGTGTCTTATCCCCAGGGTTGGGAGATGGAGGCTGGGAAGGGGGGCGCGGAGACCCAGGAGGGGCGCTACCCCCGTTGGCGGTAGATTCCTCGGGGGGCGCGGGTTCCTCGGACACGACGACCAGCGGATTCTTATCCGTCTCCCGCCTCATCGGGCCCTCTGGGGGAGGAGCGGAGATGCGCTGGCAGAAGCTCCGCATGAAGTGGGCGTGGGCGCGGTCGCCGCGGTGTTCCTGGTCAAAGGCCATCTGGAGCGCCTTGAAGCCTTCGAAGTCGCTAAAGTCTCCCTCGATGAACGTTTTCGCCAGAAGTGTCTGCGGAATCGGGTTAGAAATTTTCGCCGAAATCAAGGGCGTTGAGGAGGAGAGAGATGGAAAGCTTGAGGAACGAGGGGAGGGCTCAGAAAACTAGACATACTTCAACCCACGCGATCTAGTCAATCGTTAGCGGCCATCCTCGACGGTATTGAGGTTCAACGAAGGAAGGCACTCACATTGTTCGCTGGAAGATGTACCCACCGAAGGGCAGGCTCGTGCTTGACATTGCGAGGCAAGATCGGCACGGAGGGCCTACCCCGTACCTTATCCCACCCATACAGCAGATCGTACACTGAATGTTGAAAGACGCGCTGCTGCTCACCCCCCCGGAAATTGAAGTCCACGACCTTGGCCTCAAAGGCCTTGCACGCGGCCTGAGCCACAGGCGGTAACCTATGGGCCATGCGGCACGGACTCAGCTTCTCAGCCAAAGCCCTGTGGCACTTCTCCGCGGCGCAGAGCATCGGCGTCCGGTAGAAGGTATCCTTTATGGACGGGTCCGTCTCCGGGCTGCTGAGGAGTACATCCACGACCTCGTCGTGCCCGTTGAAGGCAGCCCAGTGCAACGGGGTCATCCCGTTCGACAGCCTCGCATTGACGTCCGCCCGCGCGCCCACGAGGAGCTCCACGACGCGCACGTTCCCGCTCTGCGCCGCGTTGTGCAGGGCTGTCCACCCGCCGTCGCTCTCGGCATTCACGGGCGCGTTATGCGCCAGGAGAGCCTCCACAGCGGGGATGACGTTGCACTCGGACGCGAGATGTAACGCCGTCCTGCCGCGGTTATTCCTCGCGCCGACGTTGGCCTTCCTCCCCAGCACGCCGCTCACGAGGGCCTCGATGAGGGTGATGTTCCCGTTCGTGGCGGCCCAGAGGAGAGGGGTACGCATTATGGCATCCGTGGGCTCGGTGTCGGCGCCGTGGGACACGAGGACCGTTAGGCACTCGAGGAGGTTCGAGGGCGGGGCCTTCAGCGAGGCGAGGACGAGCAGGACCGGGCGGGCCATGGAGTCCTTGTGGTCTGCCAGGGCGCCGGCCTCGAGGAGCGCCTTCATGGTCTCGGCGTGCCCGTTCATCGCGGCGGCGAAGAGGGCCGTCTGGCCGCGGCGGTCCTGCCAGTTCGGATTCGCGCCGTGGCGCAGCAGTACCGAGACATTCTCGGTGCGGCCGGTCTGGGCGGCGCGGTATAGGGCGGAGATCTCGTTCTCGCGGCGGGGCTCGACTTCGGCGCCGTGCTCGAGGAGCAGCTGGATGATGGGCAGGCATTGGCGCGCGGAGGCCTTCTGCAGGGCGATCCGGAGGGCGTCGAGGTCTTGTGTCGAGGTCCAGGGAGGGTCTTCGGAGAGGATGTCGCGGACGCGGGCCTGGTTCGCCTGGGCGGAGGCGGCGATGAGGCGGAGCTGACGCTGGTCGGGGCAGCTGCTTGCGACGCTCATGGTCGCAGCATCGACAGGTCGCGGGTTGATGGAGGGGGGGTATCGTTGGGTGGAAGGAGGGCTGTTGATCTGCGGATCTGATGCGATCGGCCGCTGTTTGTTTCGCGGAGGAATTGCCGAGGGCGGTATGTAGCTGGCCCTGGGGATTATCTGCTCTCGGGAGGGACTACTCGGAGGCCATGGCACACGATCTTTCGGCAGGCTTGTGATGTCAAGGTGCCTCGGGGAGGTTGAAGATATGGACCAACTGCGCGAGGGAATCCAAGGAATTTTTTTCCCCCAGGGAGATCGTGATGGAGTGGAATCCCTCCTCGCAAACGACGCTCGTAATCTCACGCCCCCACTTTGCGCTTTGGTACACCATGGTCGGAGTAATACTGCATATTATAGCTCCAGACTAGTGGATCACAGGATCGACTCTGGCCTTCCATTCTCGATATGGGCGCACGATTTGACGTCGGGGTCGACGATGGATTAGAATTTAGAAGATTCAACTTCTGCTCCGTCCTTCAGGGTCCAAGCCAAGACAAAACAAGCTTCATGCCGAGCTGTTTAAGCATCAGATTGTGTGGGCCTGTGCTAGGCAATAGAGTTTCACCTATTAGCGGGCCAAGGTAGCGCCTTCCGGCTGGTGGACATACTGGTGGACATGCTAATGTACATGGTGGTGGGTCTTCCCCGACTCTGCACACCTCCGTGGAGACAAGACACATAAAACGGAATAGATACCTGCAGGCTTCAGGCGTGGTAATATTGGTTCTATTGTCCCTCCCTTTGACCCCACACCCCACACCCCACACCTCTCTGCCTTTGATCAAGGCAAAAACGAGTAAAAAAAATATTCCCTCCCTCGCCGGGAATTGAACCCGGGGACTCGCGGTGAAAACGCGAAATGTTAACCACTACACCACAAGGGACTTGACTAGATGGAAAGGTGACGTCTAGCTTGCCATCGCAAGTTCCCGTCCGCGCGCCGGTTCCAATTCCATCTCACATTTCGCTACTGGGTATTATCTCTCGAACGATCCTACCAGAGTTCGTTCGTATCAACATAGCTATCTCGCCCACTGCCACGACTACACAGTATCTCCTACAATATTTCCCCATCATGTCCTTGAAAACGGCGACGGTCCTCGCGACTCGCCCCTCGATGACACCTCTCCATCGTCCTCCCCAGCTCCGGCTGCGCCCGACACTCTCCCCATCCGACTCGTCGATCGATCCACCTCGCCCACGAACCGCTTCCCGCTTCTGATGTACGGGTTATACGCCGCGTGCGCCGGCGGCGCCAGGCCCTCTACCTGCGGCTTCTGCATCATCGCCGTGGCATTCATATAATCGAAGTAATCATTGTTATTCTCAAACACCCTCATGCTCTCGGCGTCATCGTCGCTGTCCGAGCCGTATGGGTAGAGCCTCGTCCCGTGGGGCGTCGAGTTAAATAGCGCAGGGTCCGCGTCGATGGACTCCTGGTGCCGCAGGTACCGGTCGAACCGCGGGTTTGCACTGTCCGGCTGCTCCCGCTTCCGGAAGCGGAGGTAGTAGATGAAGAAGAGGGTTATTGCGAAGGCGAAGAGGACCGATATCCCGACGACGATGCCGATGATGAACTCCCTGGAGAGCTTAGGCGGGGGGGACGATCCCTCCGCAGGCTCTTCGTGATCCTCGTCTCCATCTTGGCGGGATCCGGGGGACTCGATGAGGATCCCTTCGTCGGAGAACACGTCACCGGTGAAGCCCAGCGTGCTTCCCGCGACGGGCTTATACGCGCAGCCGCCGGTGAGGACGACCATGACTATTTTCGTTTTGTTAACCACTGCCCAGAAAGAAAGCTACATGGAAATACCGGTCTACCTACAATTCGACAAGAAGACGTGGTTGGCACTCGACTCGAGACAGGTAAGGCACGACCGCATGTGTCCTCCGACAAAGGCCTTGTCGGCCGCCGTGCAGTACCCGTACATGTCGTTGGGGTCTATCTCGAGGCTGTCGAACGTGAGCGCCCCGTCGAGCGGGAGGCAGGCCTCGTCTGAGAGGCATTCCGCTATGTCGGAAGCCCCGGCGCTCGCTTGAATCTCGTCGTCGAAGAGGCAGGTGTCGATGACAAACCGCAAGTTGTCTTGGTAAGTGAATGTTAGCTCTGGTGCGGATTGTACCGGGGGGTGGTGGTCGATCAAGGGAGGCGGGGAGGGCGATTTACATAATAGTGAGGCAAGATCACTCTCCCGCCCTTCTATGTGATCACTGTCCTTCAGACAGGTGATGCATTCCTTGAATCTCTTCCCTTTCTCCGTGGTTGAGAACTGGTCGTCCTGGCAGACGACATCGGATTTGTCGTCCCTCGCGGCGCTGCCATCGGAGCTTGCGCAGAGCGCTTCGCATGGTGACCCCGAAGCCACGCTTAGACCGGCTGCGTACCAAGCGTGGAACGCCAGGCCGATGGTGGCTAGGTAGATGGTGAAAGGAGTCATCGTGGGTCCACGATCGAGCCGAGCGTGAGGATGGGGTAACGATAGTCGAGGCGGGCGAGCCTGGGTTCAACACCGCCGAGCCCGAGTCAGATCAGGGCGGGCGTGGCGGGCGTGGCATCTGTGTCTCTTCAACCAGGCCTTTTGTAGTAGCTTCAAAGATCAGACCTACGAGTACCCTCCGAAGGACCTGTGGGGGGCAGGCTCAAGACTTGGGGGCCGGCTTTGGCTTTGTATTTATCTTCACACCAACCCAACCCATCTCAGGGTGTCACCCTACAGGCGGAGGAGGGCGCGCCTCCCTGCAACCATCAAACTTGAAAGAGATCTCCGCCCCCATTTCGCTGAAAGAACTCCCCCCAATCCCCAGCCCCCAACACCCACGAGTACCTTCTTCCGCGCATGCAAGGGATGTAACCCATGTACTCTGCAAGTATGGATGCTCCTCGCCCAACAGACCAATCACACACGACGGGCGTTTCGTACAGATTCCTCCCATCCTTCCCTCCCACCCTCCCTCTCACATCCCCTCGCCATATCCTCTCCCAAAGGGGAAAGGGTACTTTCGAAAACCCGACAGTCTGGAAATAAGCGCCGTTTAATATGGGCCCCCGGCTAATCAGCTGGGGATGGGGCGGAAACACTGCTCTTTGCTCCCGCTCAGACACAACGGGAAGGGGGCGAGCGGCCGGGGAAGCACGGGTCATGACGCGAACGCTCATCACCCCGCTAGCATCGGATCTAGTAATCTCGGGTCGATAATCCGGTCTATCACTAGTGCTAGGTCTACCATCTGGTCGAGGATCGGCCGCCAAGACGGGAAGAAGCCGACCGTCACGACAGTCCATCGAGATTGCGTCGATGAAGAACATAACACTGCTGGACTCCGAGAGGAAGGATTCCTTTTTTTTTTCTGTTGTTCCCTTTTATTTCCCGGGCTAGTCCTGGAAAGGTATGGGGATGGAGCGACGAGTATTATTCTTTGGAAGGGCACAAGGAGGGAGCTGTCTCCCGGATTCCGGCACATGCCATGGACCTCTTCCCGCTATTATTTCCCGCATTTCTTTCATGGCTCTGCCCGGACCCACTCACCCAGACCCGGTTATGCGTGGAGGGTAGTACCATCACATTCGACCGGTCAGGGCTTGACGCTTCTCACAAGTACGTACCCAGAAAATCTAGTGTTTGTTTGTAGCAAAGCGTCTCTGGACTCGGGAGGCCCTGCCGCTGTCTCTGTCCCTCGCCAGGGTACAAGTGGTTGGCTGCCTAGTAATCGACTGGGTAAAATGGGTTGGCATGCTCCGGCACCTTTTCCTCGTGTTTGAAGGGTGATTTCGAGTGATGGTCCGCGATGGGATCCCATCGTCGTTAGCGACTGAATTGCTTTGCTGACCTCACTATCTCAGCCCTTGCGTAATAAACGCCCTTCTACTCGCCATTCTCTAACTCCTCGTGCCCAAGACGCTCATGGATGAGGATGAGTGGGCTACTACGCTGGTTCCTAGAAAGGGGAGCAGCCCCCAACATCTCTGACGCCCTCTTCAATAACCCGGTCGGCCACTGCTTACTCGTGGCAGTAGCATAAGCAGGGTGTCATTTTCGGAGGGCGAGTCCCGCATGCCACGATGCCTGTGCGGTAGTTCATTGCGAACGGGGTGGTCGCGCCGAAGTAGAATAGTGTGGGTCTCCAGACAAGATGGGTCTGTGCTATTGACAATGATGCGATGCGCATCTGTCGGCGCTTATTGCGCAGGCGGGAAGCAAGCGAGGAGAGGGATGGGGAAGGGAAGCTGTCGGGGTGAAACTGTCGAGACGATGCAATAGTGCCAAGGGTGGGCCCTGGATGGACGGCGAGCTGCCGGTGACCTTCGTCCTCTCCCCAGGTCATCGGCATGCAGGCCCCAGCTTGGCATGCCCCATTCATTGAATGTATTCCTGTCGGATTGCGTAGTACCTGAACCATCAGACCTTCTTTCCAGTCATTCTTCCAGAGCCCTGAGAAAGACTGGATGACATTAAGCCCCCGCCCAAGTCTCGTATCTCTCATGGCATCTCATCCATGGTCAGCAAAGACTCTACCCGTCGTCACCGGGTCTCCCACCCTCCCTTCCGTGTAACCAGAAGCCATCGAATCAGGACCCCAGGTCGTCTTTCACTCCCTGGTGTGCTACCCCAGGCTAGCTTTGCTCGAGTCCCCCCCCCCAGAATGGGCTACTTTCGCACAACGCAACAGAACATTTGGCACGCCAGCATCGTCTATGGACTGGGAGGCGAGAGGTATTAATAGCTTTGGATGTTCGCGCGGGCGCTGTCACTCGCTGGTCCTTAACTACCCCATATTTATCCAACGCCCTCAACACTGGGGGTCGAACAAGAAGCCTCCGCCAGCACGAACTGAGTCTCCTCGTCCCCGGATCGAACTGAGTCCGCACACCTGTGTGAAGCCCCCCCTGCCCCCCCCCCAACCCATCCCCCCTCTTTAATCTTTTCGCCCCTCCATTCCTCAGAACTCCGCCCCGCCCCCAATTACCAAACCTACCGTTACATTCCCTCCCGTTATCACAACGCCACCAGAGGATCTCTGCACACTCATTTCCTCCCGCACCTCGGTTGCCTTTTAAGCTCGAGACCCCATGTACATACTACTAGTCGTGAGGTCGCAATCGAATCCCGTGTCCCGTCTGGTCCCAAATGGACGACGATCGCTCCTCTTCGGGCTAATCACAGGACAGGGTACTCCATATTCGACTTGTGCTCCTTCCCTCGCCTGCCCGCCCGCTGTCACTTGTTTGTTCAGTTTCTCTGACCGGTTGCCGTCCTCTGGCTTCGTGCCTGTTATGGATTGCAAGAATCGCATCGTCTCCAAAACCAAGGTGTCGTGAATCCGGATTTATCTCCAAAATGATAACATCCTTGGGTAAAGATTAGGAAGAATTAGGATTAATCCCCAAGCCCATGTCATGTACGTACATAGTAGAAATCTCGCTCGCTGCATAACATTCTGGTGTGGCACACTTACCGCTCATCCCTGCTCGGTCTCAGCACGCCACTTGACGAACGGTTCCGACCACCTCGAGTCCCTTGCATCCCCCCCCCCCTTCCCCCCAACCCATCCCGGCCCGAAACGCGACCGCCAACTATTCGTCCTCCCCCCCTTTTTCGGCCCGGTCACTGCCCTCCCGGTCCTCATTCACCCTAGCAATCTCCTCCCTCGCACCATCCCACACCTTCCTCTTCCCCGTCTCGAACAGCCTAAACACGTGCGGCGAGTAGATCCCGTCCACAACCGCCCGGTAGAGCATCCTATCCTCCCTCCAGAACCTCCACCCCTCCGTCCCCCAGCCCAGATTCCGCCGCAGCCCCGTCCCGGCCGTCTCGTTCACCCAGTCCATCCACTCCGGCCAGCTGACCCAGGCGGGGTGCGTCCTCCCCCGCCCCGCCAGCCCGCA